CTCTCCCACTCGCCCTTGAACACCCGCTGAGCTGCCCCCACTCCATTGCCAAAGTCAACAGGGACCTCTTGGTTGCTAAATGTAGCTCCTACTTCCTAGTCCTCTTCTCACTAGATCTCCTGGGAGCCTCTGGCTCTGTTGACCCACTTCTTCCTTCCGGAAACTCTTCTAACCTCTGTGACGCCATCCTTCTGGTGTTCCTCCTGCCTCCCTGGCTGTTGCTTCTTTGCTCCTTTAAACTCTCCTCTGTCTGTTCTCCTCTCTGCCCCAGAACTCTGTCCTCAGCTCTAGGCACTCACGACACACTCCTTGGGTGATCGTACCCTGTCCCTAGCTGGGGGGGTCCTTGCTAGACAAATGAAATCCCACCTAAGATGATTATACACTATTGGTGGGGTAGGCAAGATAGAAATTAAGATTTATTTTGCACTTACTGGGCACAAGGTAACGAGTAGATCTTTTATTACTCAGTCCTCCCAGTAGTTATGTGAAGGAGTTGTTAGCAAACTGAGGCTCAGAGAGGTTACGTTGCTTTCTCAGAGTCACAGCCAGTCAGTAGGGGAGCCAGGATGCAAGCTCAGGTCTTTCTGATTCTAAAGCCCTGGCCTCTCCCACCATCCCTGCCACCTCTCCAGAACTGGCTGGTGAGGTAGGCTGGGAGGCTGGCTGTAGGGAGGGGTGCCACCCCCCACCCCCGTCTCCTTCCCCAGCAATTCTGGCTGCTCCTCCTGACTCGGGGCCTGGTGGGGGTCGGGGAAGCCAGTTACTCCACCATCGCGCCCACCCTCATCGCTGACCTCTTCGTGGCAGACCAGCGGAGTCGGATGCTCAGCGTGTTCTACTTCGCCATCCCAGTGGGCAGGTGAGTGGGCCTTGGGCCTGCCTGGTGGGAGGCAGAGGGGCTGGCATTGGGCATGACTGACCAGCTGTCCCTCCTCTCCCGCCCTTTCCCCCAGTGGTCTGGGTTACATTGCAGGCTCCAAAGTGAAGGATGTGGCTGGGGACTGGCACTGGGCTCTGAGGGTGAGTTGGTCACAGACTGCGGGGAGGTCAGCAACATTCTCACTGGTTCCCCCCTTTTTACCTTAGGACACCCCATTTTCAGGCAGCGTTTACTCTGCCACGCCTGCAGGAGGCCTGGCTGCCCTCCCCACAAAGCCATGAGCTCGACAGAACTCCTGGTTATGGGTGACAGAGCCCATTGTCAGGGCCAGCACCCAGATGGGATTGCACGGGCTCTCAGAAAGGAAGGCCCAGGGGGAACTTCAGGTACAGCTGGATCCAGGCGCCCACAGACAGGCATTTGATCGCCCTCCTGAGCTCTGCTTCCCTCTGTGCTACTTTTGTTCTCAAGCAAGTGAACACTCCATTTAGAAACTTCGGACCCTGAGTCCTTGAGCAATAGTCCTGGATAGGGTCTGGTTAGGTGAACATGGGTCACGCGCCTGCCATCGACTGAATCAGCCCCTGAGGCTGGGGAAGTTGGCCCAGTCTGGGTCACAGGCCCTGCTCCCTGCTGGGACCACGTGGATTTAGAGAAGTCGGGGGAGTGGTTTCCCAAAAGAAAGTTAGGGTGCTGTTTCCAAAGGAGGAGCAGTCAGGCTTGCAGAAATGGGAGTGGTCACTAGCGCCCCCCCTCCCCCAGTGGCAGCTCAGCTCCCTGAGCAGGCACCTACCCTCCTGTTTGAGGTCTTGGGGCCTGAGTTGCCCTTACACGCCCTCCCTTTCTCCCGGCCCCAGGGTTGGGCGTGTCTCTGCCTGGGCCGGTCCTGAAGCCCACTCTTTCCCAGGTGACACCGGGTCTAGGAGTGGTGGCGGTGCTGCTGCTCTTCCTGGTCGTACGGGAGCCGCCGAGGGGAGCTGTGGAGCGCCACTCGGACTCCCCACCCCTGAGCCCCACCTCGTGGCGGGCAGACCTGAGGGCGCTGGCTAGAAAGTGAGTTTAATTCCATCCTAACCCCACATCGTAGATCCCCAGGGAGGCCCTGGCCCTGGCCCTGGCCACTGGGTTGAAATTTTCTTGGGGGTCGTCATTTTTTTAGAGAGAGAGAGAACCAAGCATGGATTTGTTGACCCGCTTACTTATGCACTCCTTGGCTGCTTTTCGTATGGGACCTGGCAGGAGATCGGACCCCATAACTTAGGCATGTGGGGAAGACGCCCCAACCAGCCGAGTTACCCGCTGTCTTCATTTTCTTTCCAATCTCCTGGCCCAATGTCAGGGCCAGTAATGCCGTCACTACTGCCCCCTGTGGCAGCTGCTTGAATTACAGGCCCAGATCCTGGGAGCCAGGACAGCCTCCACACCCAGGGCCCTGACCTTAGCAAAATCAGCCAGGAAGGGAGAACAGAGTCCCCTCCCTGACCCCTCAGTGGAGCCTGACTTCCTCCCTTCAACCGTCTTTGCAGCCCTAGCTTCATCCTGTCCTCCCTTGGCTTCACTGCTGTGGCCTTTGTCACGGGCTCCCTGGCGCTCTGGGCTCCTGCCTTCCTGCTGCGTTCCCGCGTGGTCTTGGGGGAGACCCCGCCCTGTCTTCCTGGAGACTCTTGCTCTTCTTCTGACAGGTACCCAGGTCAGAGCTGGGATGGACGGCCTGCAGGTGGCAGGGGGTGGAGTGGAAAGAGGATGGCCCAGGCTCAGACAAGGAGAGTTTGAGTCTCAATTCCACCAGCTACCTTCCTCTCCCAGAGTTTGTTTCCTGGTCCGGGAAGTTGGTGATAGGAACCTAGTGAACCGTGGGGTGTTGTGCCTGATAGACCTGGGTTGTGAGGTGGCTGGGATGGGCCATCTGCCTCTCCAGGCCATAGGGGTGAGGCTCAGGGCTTTGCAGGGGGACAGACCAGTTCCCCATGTCCCTCCTTCTGCCCCCAGCCTCATTTTTGGGCTCATCACCTGCCTGACTGGTGTCCTGGGTGTGGGCCTGGGCGTGGAGATCAGCCGCCGCCTTCGCCACTCCAACCCCCGGGCTGACCCACTGGTCTGTGCTGCTGGCCTCCTGGGCTCTGCGCCCTTCCTCTTCCTGTCCGTGGCTTGTGCCCGTGGCAGCATCGTGGCCACTTATGTGAGTAGCCAGCAGGCATCAGGAGGGCTGTCGGGACCTGGGAAAGGAAGGTGCACTGGGGCAGCCAGCATAGTGGTTCACAGCCAGCTCTGGGGTGGGAATGCCTGGTTTTGAACCTCAGGTCTTGCCCTTCCTAACTGTGTGACGTTGGACAAGTGACTTAACCTCTCTGTGCCGTTTCACCATTTGTACAAAGGGAATGATAATGGCTCCTGTTTCATAGCGGTGTTGTGAGGACTAAATGAGTTAATAGATGGGCCTCTATGTGTTTGCTCTTGTGATGAGCTCAACCCTACTTTCCCCACCCCCTGGTGATCAGGTTTTCATCTTTATTGGGGAGACACTGTTGTCCATGAACTGGGCCATTGTGGCTGACATTCTGCTGGTGAGTAAGTAGGTGGGCCGTTCCAGGCTTGGTTCAGAGGCTGCAGGGAGTGGGTGTGGGAGGCCTCACTTGCCTTGAATTGTGGCCTTTACCCCGTCTTCAAAACCCGGCCCCAGCGTGACTTCACTGTCCAGCCCCAGATGGGCCTACAGTCTGGCCTGCCATACCCTTACCCCAGCACACCTCTGAGCTGGGGTTCACTGACCTCCGCCTGGGCTGAGCCTTGGCCTTATCTTTGCCCTGTCTCCTGCCCCCCCCGCCCCCCCCCACATACACCTCCCAGTATGTGGTGATCCCTACGAGGCGCTCCACTGCCGAGGCCTTCCAGATTGTGCTGGCCCACCTGCTGGGTGACGCCGGGAGCCCCTACCTCATCGGCCTGGTGAGCAGTGCCCTCTGGCTGGGCTGGGGTGGGGGCGGGCACCGTGGTTCCTAGCACTGGCTGGCGGGCAGTGGCCAGGCCTGAGCCTGGGCGTCATGGGAAGGCCAGGCCCCAGCTAGACTTCCTGTCACCTCGGGTCCTCAGCTGGACGGAAGGACTTGTCTTCGTGAGTTTCCACATGAGGCCTGGGCCTCTCCCTGGGGGCCAGACACCCTTCCCTTCCCGACTCCAGTCTCTGTTCTGGAGTTGGGGCGCCCTTTCCAAGACTCTTTCTCCTGCTTTTCCTGTCCTGTCCCCACAGATGTCCGACCGCCTCCGCCGGAACTGGCCCCCCTCCTTCTTGTCCGAGTTCCGGGCCCTGCAGTTCTCGCTCATGCTCTGCGCCTTTGTCGGGGCGCTGGGCGGGGCGGCCTTCCTGGGCACCGCCATCTTCATTGAGGGAGACCGCCGGCGGGCGCAGCTGCATGTGCAGGGTCAGTGGGGCTTCCTGCCCAACATCAGGATGCTGCCCGCTTGTTCCTTCGCCCGTGTGTCTAGTCCTGTGAACTGGCACCTCTCGGCCCACAGGCCTCCCTCACCCCGCTTCGGGTCTGCCTGCAACAAGCTGGTGTCCCGCTGTGTCCACAGCTCCGGGCCCCGTCCGTTTCCCACCGCCCGTGTGTCCCTCCCAGGCGTTGTGTCTGTCTGCCCTCCAGCCCTGGCTCTGACCCCTCCCCCAACAGGTCTGCTGCATGAGGCCGGGCCCGAAGATGACCGCATCGTGGTGCCCCAGCGAGGCCGCTCCACCCGGGTCCCGGTGTCCAGCGTGCTCATCTGAAGGGCCGTCGCTCACCTACCGCACACCGGCCACAGCTGGCCTCAGGCCACCCAGCAGGCACCCGGGCCCGAACCTCGGCCTGGCCCAGCTTCTGAGAGGAGCCTTGGGCATGTTCCAGGTCCCACACTACACGGGCGCCAAGGGTGGGCGATGGGGCGCAGGAGGGATCCCCTCCAGTGGAGCAGCCCCGGGGGCTCGGTGCTATTTGTACTGAATAAAATTTGTAGCCAGACCCCAACGCCTGCTTGAGTCTCTCTGGGTGCTAGGGGCCCCCCTGGAATGGGGGCTGCCCCCTCCAGCCCCGAGGCGCCTGGTGGCTGCCGGCCACTCCTGCGGGGCTGCTGGGCTGGGTGAGCGAGGCTGGAGTGAGCTGGCTCCCTGTGACCGTGAGTCACGCCCCTGTTTCCCCCAGAGCCCGCCCCGCTGGAAGGCCAGCTGGGGTGAGGGGTGGGCCCTGTGCCTGGGCGTTAGCCTCCCTCTGCTGCCTCCTGGAGCCCCGCCGTGGAGGCTGCTGCTGGCTGCCCGCAGCTGCTTGTCCTTGCCCCGCTGGTGTGAGTGCCCCTTGTCCTGGGGACCAGCAGACCCTGGAGGACCTGGGTGGCTCCTCAGGCCTCCTCCGCTCTCCCCACTGCTGGGTGGGGGTGGGAAGGGGGTAGGTGCAGCCGGCTGAGGAGCCTGATGATTTCCTGCCCTCACCCGGCGCTCACCACAGCTTCCTGCCACAGGCGGGAGGGCAGGCGTTGAGGGAAGGCGGGCGCCAAGCCCAGGGGCAGGTAGGCCTGGGTGCAGGGGCCACGCAGGGTGGCTGGTGCCCCAGACTCCAGCCAGGCCCTGGCCTGACTGCCTGGGGCCCAGGGTCTGACAGCCAGCACTGACACCACTCAGCCCAAGGCGGGGCGGGGACCCAGGAGCCCTTAAGGAGGGCACGGCTGCCCGCCGGGCTCTAGCCTGGTGTCTGCCCGCCGGGCTCCAGCCTGGTGTCGCTGGGCCCCTCCGCCCCGGGGCCCCTCCGCCCGCTGCCCAGCGCTTGCTCCGCTGCAGTTCTGTGCTGGGGCGTCCAGCGAGCCGCAGGTCCGGTCCGAGCTCGGCCCTGCAGATGGAGGCGGCCGTGCTGCTCCCCATGGTGCTGGGCCTCCTGCTGCTGCCCCTCCTGGCTGTGCTGCTGATGGCGCTCTGTGTGCGCTGCCGAGAGCTGCCAGGTGAGCGGGAGCTGGTGGGGTGACCAGATGCCGGACACATGGACTGGGGTCCCTCACTCCGTCTAACTGTCCCTAACTCTCCTGCGTGCCCCTGACTGTCACCCTCTCCCTCCTCACTCCCTTTCCCTGCCTCACTGGCCGTCTCTCCGCAGACACCTATGCCTACGACAGTGCTGTGCCGGACAGGTGAGTCGGCCCCCCCCCCCCCCCCCCCCCCGCCAGCCCGGCCCGGGCAGCTCCCTTCATTCCCACGCGGGCCGGGCTGGGTGCCTCCTGGTCCCTCACCGCTGTCTCTCCCGCCAGCCTGCCAAGGAGCATCATGATCAAAAGGCCTCGTGAGTACACGGAGGGCCCTCTCCCGTGGGGTAGGGAGGAGAGTCCCCAGCCTGTGAGCAAGTGTGTGCCTTTGTTCAGGTTGCCCTGGTGGCTGCCCACATGGCCGTGACTGGTGGGGGGGTGGGGGGGGTGGGGGGAGGCTATGGGTGCCCTCAGGCCTGTCCAGGGCACAGGGACTTCAGGGGGTTGGGCCACTGTTGAGGCCTTGAGGGTAGGGGCATTGTGTCTGGAGTCATCCCTTCAGCTTGGTCCTGTGTCCTCAGCCACACTAGCCCCCTGGCCACAGGCTACCGTGACCTCCTGTCCACCCTTGAGCCAGCCAGACCTGCTCCCCATCCCGTAAGTAACCCCTTCCCCTCCAAGTCCCCCTCTCTACCCCTCACCTCCTTGGATTGGGGGTTCTTTCCCCGTTGCAACCCCTCTTGCCCCAGAGCCTCGTCCCAGGCATGACCTCTGACTTTTGAACTCTCAGGAGATCCCCACAGCCCCCAGGGGGCTCCCACCGAATGCCTTCTGCTCGGCAGGACTCCGATGGCAGTAAGCTGGAGCGGGGCCTCGGGCCTGGGGCTGGGCTGGCGGAGGATGTGCCCCATCTCTCCTGACTCAGTCTCCCTCTCGCCCTCTCTCTGTAGCCAACAGTGTGGCCAGCTATGAGAATGAGGGTGCGTCTGGGCCCCCGGGGCCATGGGCAGGGAGGCTGGGCCCGGCCCGGGCTGTGCTGACCCCGTGTCCTTCCTCAGAGCCGGCCTGTGAGGATGAGGACGACGAGGAGGACTATCACAACGAGGGCTACTTGTGAGTGGCCCGGGGGGAGGACGGGGCCGAGGCCGCGGCCCACGCTCACCCATCCCTTGACTTTCCCTCAGAGTGGTGCTTCCTGACACTGTCCCGGCCACGGCCACGGCCACGTGCACCGCCGTCCCGGCAGCTGCTGCGCCCAGCAACCCCGGCTCCCGAGACAGCGCCTTCTCCAGTGAGTCGCCCGTCTGACCCTCCAGCTTCTCCGCTACGGCCCCTTCGATCCGCTCTCTGCGCGTGTTTCCCTGATGCTGCCGCTCCTCTGCCTTCTCTCTTGTCTTTTTCTAGAACCCTGTCCTTCAGACAGTGGACTTCCTGCTCCGATCTCTGGATGCCTCCCTTTTTCTCTCCTCTTTGTCTCCTCCTTTTATTGTCTGCAGGAGTCCCTTGACTTTCTTCCTCGCTGGCTCTGTTCCTGGACTGTCCTTTTATTTCATTTATTTCTCCTGTCGGAAAGCTTGTTCTTGATTCCTGAATGTCCCTGTTTCAGAGCCTCCTGTTCTTGTTCATGGAGGCAATGTCACCGTGTAAGTCCTGAAGGATATTGGTTTTAGGTTCTCTTCTTTTGTCTTGGCTCTTTGGGAATTTTCCTTCTGCTTCCTGCATTGTCTCAGTTTCCTCTGAGCTGCTTTTCCCCTTTGTTTTGGTCACAGCCTGCTGGTTAGGCGTTCTCCTCCCTGTCTGGCCATCTTCAGTGTTCTGTTATTCTCCTCCCTGTACATGCCCTGGACCTCCCGTCTACACACTGGCTTCATCTGCCATCAGATTCCCGACTTGCCACCCCTCTCCCGAGCTCCCCAGCATCTGCCCAAGTGCTTCTCCTCATCCACTCACTTACTCATCCGTGGTATTTACTGGGTGCCTCTGATATAACAGCTAACGGGGGAGAGTCATGATAAAAAAGCTAACGTCATTGAGGACCTACTCTGCCCGGCTAAGACTTTCACGTGTCTGAGCTTGTTAACCCTCCCAGGTCCCTCCCTCGTGCACCTCGGCTACCCCATCTGCCCGATGGCAGCGTTGATTTATTTAACAGACGCTTGGCAGCACTTACTGCTTAATACTCACACTTAGTATTCACAGCATTAGTCCTCCATGAGATGGGTAGTTCCTCATCCGATTTTACAGATGGGAACACTGAGGCCCAGAGAGGTTGGGGAGCTTGTCTGAGGTCACGTGGCCAGTTAGTGATGGAACTGGATTTGAACCTGGGCCGCCTGGCTCCAAAGCCTGTCTTGTCCACACCCTCATGGAGAAACAAGTCAACACGTAAAAGAACAAGATCATATCAGTGACAAGATGTGCTCCGAAGGGACTAGGACAAAAGTGGAAGCCAGGGCAGGCCTGGCTGGAGAGGAAGGGCCAACCCGGGCATGGCCCCCCTGATGGAACCAGCCCTGAGGGTCTCTCCCTCCACACGTGCCACTCAGCCCCGCCACACAGCTGCCCAGGCGGCGCTGATGGTGTCTGCTGTCTCCTCTCCATCGCATTCCCTCTCACCAGTTCTGGTCAAACCGCCCTGTTCTCTCCATTGCCACGGCCTTTGTTTGCCCTCCTTCAGGCCGTGGGCTGTGCTGGTCCAAGCTCCCTCCCTGCCTCCCTCTGGGCCGACTGTGGGGAGGTCTCTGGGCGGCTGTGCAGGAGTCTTGGCTGGTTTTGTTGAAGGTCTGGGCTGTGGCTGGGAACTCCGGGGTGTCTGCCCAGGGGCCCTGGGTAAGGCCGGGCTCCGTGCTTTTCTGTAGTGGAGTCGGGGGAGGACTACGTGAACGTTCCCGAGAGCGAGGAGAGTGCAGACGCGTCTCTGGGTGAGTGGCCGGTGCCCCCCCCCCCCCGTGCCCTCCCTTCCCCTGGCCCTGCCACCCCACCCCCCTGCCCGTATTGCCGTGCCCACACGCCTTCTGTGGCTCTGTCCCCCTCGGTCTGGTGTCCTCTGCTCTCTTGCCCTCAGTGTGGCCTGCCCCTCGGGTGTGGCTGTCCCTCCTTCTGACCTGTCCCCACAGATGGGAGCCGGGAGTATGTGAACGTGTCCCAGGACCTGCAGCCCGCTGTGAGGACTGAGCCCGGTGTGTACTGGGGGACGGGCGGGAACTGGGGGGCTCCCTGGGTGGGGGGACAGTTTGTGAGGTGAAGACCAACCTCCCCTCCCCCTACAGCCACCTTGGCTTCCCAGGAGGCAGAGGAAGAGGAGGAAGAGGGTGCCCCAGATTATGAAAATCTGCAGGAGCTTCAATGAAGACCTGTGAGAGCCGGGCCCGCCACCCCCCCCCCCCCCGCCCTGCCCCCCCCCTGCCCTGGCCTGAGGGCTCCGACCCTCCCTCAAGACCCTGCCCCACCACCTCAGCCTCTCCTCCCTGACTCTGGGGACCCCTTGGATACCCCTTCCCGCCACCTCCTGACCCGTGGCCCCTCTGTCTCCCTGCCCTGTGTTTCAGCATGAGGCGTGCTGTCCTAGAGCCTGCCTTCCTGGGAGGGCTGAGCTGGGCAACTGGAAGTGGCTCCGGGGGGCCCACTTGGCACCCCACCCTGGCTCCAGCCCGACAACAGCCTGAGAATTTCCCCCCTAACTTATTGGCACTTTGGGGTCCAGTCTGGGTGCCCCCAATGCTGCACCTTCTGACACAGCCTGAGAATGAAGGGCCTTGGCCCCCGGCCCTGCTCTGTACAGAATAAAGGCTGGTGTGGTCTGTAGCTCTTGGCTTTGGGGACCCAGTGTCGGGGTCAGGGTGAGGGGGGCAGAGGGTCTGCGTGCGTGCGTGCGTGTGTGCCCCCATCCTCCACAGGCCTCCAGCTCCTCCGGGTCCTGGCCAGGTGCTAGGACAGGCTGCCTTCTGAGCGAGGCCAGTGTGACCCAGCCTGGCACTTGGGGCCCGGACGCACGTCCGTGAGACCGTCCACAGACGGAGGCTGTGCTGACGGGAGAGCGGCATGGAGGCGCCCTGGGTGGGCTCTAGAGCAACCCTCCCCGCGGCCCGCTTCCCCATCTCTGAAAGAAGACTTGATGGCTTTGAAGGCTTTGTTAGTTTTTACCTTTTGTGGTTCTCAATAAAACAGAACTTAAAAATCGTCTAAGTTTGCCCTGGCTGGTTTGGCTCAGTGGGTAGAGCATCGGCCTGTGGACTGAAGGGTCCCGGGTTCGATTCCGGTCAAGGGCACATGCCCTGTTGTGGGCTTGATCCCCAGTAGCGGGTGTGCAGGAGGCAGCCGATCAGTGATTCTCTCTCATCATTGATGTTTCCATCTCGCTCCCTGTCCCTTCCTCTCTGAAATCAATAAATAAACATTTTTTTAAATTGTCTAAGCAGCTGAAAACGTTCGTGCGCAGACTCTGACTCGGTAGCTCAGGCAGGGGCCTGAGGCTCCACTTCCCAGGAGCCCCCAGGGTTCCGGTGCTGCTGTTCCAAAAGCCGCACTTTGAGCAGCACGGTGGGTGCCCTGCAATTGGCTCCTGCGTGGGCACGTGACCCAGCCCGGGCCAATGAGGACGGCCTGGGACTTGAGCAGGAAGTGCTGGGAAGAAGAACCTCTTTTTGTTCCTGGCAGTGAAGCCAGAGGGATGGCTGTCGCCCTGGAGCCCCCACCTGGGGAGCCCCCACCTGGGAGCCCCCACCTGGGAGCCCGCTGAGGAGAAGCCGACAGGGAGGGGAGTGTCCCCAGCTCCCGTCAGCCCTGGATCCGTCACACCCGGGGCGAGACGGCCCCTCAGACTCCCAGTTACATGGCCAGTAAGTGGCCAGTTTCTCCCACTGGCGTGCCGGGTTTCTGTGGCCCACAAGCACAGTCATCCTGAGTGATGGCGTTGGCGTCCGCTGTGGGCTCCGGAGATCAGAGTAGCCCTTCTCGTTACTGAGCGCCTGCCCATTTTCATGCTTCTCCCCGAACCCTCGGCTCTCGCCCGCTGCTGGTCACTGTAGGCGTCTCCCAGTCACAGGTGCGGAAACAGGCTCGGGGAGAAGTGACTGGCAGGGTCGGCTGCCCCGAAGGGGGGAGCCCTCACAGGCCCAACTGTAGACGTGAGGCAGGGGCCTGGGGAGGGTTGGACTGGCTGGACGTCAGCAGGTGGAGCGAACCATTTACTTGGGGGATAGGAACGGGCAGAGGCATCCTCGGGCTGGGCCGAGGGACAGCATCGGCTTGCCACCAAGGTATGTTGGTGCAGCCGCCGTGGAGAACAACGTGGAGCGTCAGTCAGGCTGCAGATGGCGGGTCCCTTTCCCAGCGCGCCCCTGGGTAGCAGCCTGGCTGGCGCACGGGCGAAGGGGCGGGCGCGAGGCTCAGGGCAGCACCGCAATGGCTGGAAACAGTCGACCGGTCAGCAGCAGAATGGACACGCACCGGGGGGCTCACCAGCGGATAAGCATGAACAAGACCCGCACCTGTCACCTCGAGTAACGATCACCGACAATGTGGGGTGAGAAAGGAGAGCAAGTTATTTATAGAAAGCTAAAAAAATGAAAAAGCTACACATTGTTTAGGGACACACATTACGGCAGGATATCAGGATAGGCAAAGGAGGGAGGAACCCCAAATTCAGGTGAGGTGACCCTGGGGTAAGCTTGGGGGTAGGGCGGGGGGGGTGTTGGGAAGGAGTTTAGGAAGGCCTCAGTGATACATGTAATGTCCTTTTCGAATTTTTATGTATTGATTCTTGAGAGAGAGAGAGAGAGAAACATCGATTTGTTTTTTGTTTTTTAAAAATATATTTTATTGATGTTTTACAGAGAGGAAGGGAGAGGGATAGAAAGTTAGAAACATCGATGAGAGAAACATCGATCAACGGCCTCCTGCACACCTCCCACTGGGGGTGTGCCCGCAACCAAGGTACATGCCCCTGACCGGAACCGAACCTGGGACCCTTCAGTCCACAGGCGGACGCTCCATCCACTGAGCCAAACCGGCTAGGGCAGAAACATCGATTTGTTGTTCCACTTAGTTATGCATCATTGGTTGATTTATTTTATATTGTTTTTGACTGATTTCTGTATGTGCCCTGTCGGGGATCGAACTCACAACCTTGGCGTAGGGGGGACGATGTTCTAACTAACAGAGTTGCCTGGTCAGGGCCATGAGGCCTTATTCTTAAGCAGTGCTGGGTACGCAGTGTTTGGTATATGACTCTCTTAAGTGTCATAGGAGACTGAGTCACTGGTCTTTCTGGGCCAAGCGGTGTTGCAAATGGCACTCCGGGACTTAGGAGCAGCCTGTGCCAGGGCGCGGAGGTGGGAACGGTGAGACAGGCGTGGTCTCGCCAGAGTGGCAGGGCCAATGGAGGGAGGTGGTAGCATGAGAGGTTGGGCTGTGAGGACAGGTGGCCTGGCTCCCAGGCGTGGGGGGACCCTGGCCGCGCGCTGGTGGCTGGGAGGGGCGTTCCGTGAGGCACTAAGCAGCTTTCCATGTGCATTTCTTGGACCAGCAAGAGGATGTGGCTTTGCTTCCACCAGCCAGGGAGCCACTGCAGCGGGTCTGCGGGGCTGGGCTGGATACCAGCACATTGGGGTGATCTGGAGAGAGTCCCTGCAGGTGGAAGCCGGGGGGGTGGGTTGGGGTGGGGGGGGGCAGAAAGAGCTTTCTTCTTGAGGACTGTGGTGGGAGGAAGGTAGATTCAGTGGTAAGAGAGAGAGCTTTCCCGAATTGCTGGGGGGGACATCTGGGTGCTTCTAGGCGCCACAGGGAGGGAACAGCCCTGGTGACGCGGGCGCCCTCAGCAGTCCTGAGGCGGGTCCCAGAGCAAGTAGCTTACCTGAGAGGTGGTCCCAGAGGGGGGTGCGTGTAGAGCCAGTCCACTGCCCCGTGCGGAGGCGGGGGAGGGGGGCGCGCCCTCCTGCAGGGAGGGACCGTGTTTACATGGCCCCCCAGGAGCCACAGCGGAGGGCGGCCTCCAGGTTTCCTCTCCAGGCTCCCGCCTCCCGCGGGCACCGTGGCTCCCGTGGCCAGAGCGAGCCTGAGCCTGAGCCTGAGCCTGGGCGGAGGAAGCAGGTGCTGGCGCCGCATGGGCCTCGCACACCGGGAGCGAGCAGGGCCCAGGCCGAGGTGCCGCTGCCGCCAGCACCGCTGCCTGTGGCCCGGGTGGCCCGTGTGTCCCGGGAGAAGCTTCTCTAGAAAGAGCTGTGCGGTCAGGATGGCCCGGCAAAGCCCGATTCTCCAGGTCCCCCCTGGAGGGTCAAAGTGCGCACGCATTGGTCCATGGCTCTGCGAGGTCCTAGAATAATGTCTTTGTTTCTCTTTGCCTACCCTTGTGTTTCCCACATTCCTTTGACTTCAGAACCTTTAAAAATGTTATTAACAACAACAAAACAAAAAGAGAGAGAGAGAAAACCCCACAATTAAGGTGTCATTAGCGTCTCTGGAAGAGAGGTAGCTTCCGCACCTGCTCCCCCTCCTCCCAGCGATGCCTCTGGGGGGCAAACCCTTCCAGACTCACCTGGAGCTCACCCGCTCCTCCACCCACCTGCCCGCCCGCAGAGGCCCGCGTGAGCCCCCACGCAGGCGACCCAGCTCCCGGCAGGCGGGTCTGCCCCCAGCTCCCGCGCCCTCCAGCTCCGCCCTGTCCTGGGCCCAGGGAAACCTCTGGGCGTTCGTCCTCGGCTCTGTTCACTGTGTCCGTGGCTGGGGGCTGCCAGCAGTGGCTCCAGGAAGGGGGCGGCTTTCCGTGGCACGTGCACCGAATACAGTCCCAACTCTGCCACTAGCTTTCTGGACGGTGGGGACTTTTGAGGACGTTGGGCTTACATTTTAAGACCTTCTTCGGGGACCCCGAGCCCCAAAAGGTGTCCCTGACAATAGAAGAACAGGACCCCGTGCTGTGGAGAAGGCTGGACGCGTGCAGGGATGGCTGACGCCAGAGGCCTAACCCTTTCTCTGTGACTCCATCGTCCGTTTCCCCCGTGTGCTCGTGCGACGGTTCTAGGAGCTCCAGGGATGGGACCATGCCCATCCAGACTGCCATCCTTGGGCCAAAATCTCCGCGTCTCCAGCCAAATCCCAAACTTACTCTAATGGCCGTGGCGAGGGACACAGGACACTGACCCAGTCCCCGGCCAGGAGAAGGCCATGAGCTGACTTAGGCCTGTGTCATATGCTTCACCTCCAGCTCTAAGGGCCTGGAAATGGGGAGGGCGCCCCCCAGAACTCGGACTATTGCTGGCAGAAGGGAAGAAGGCTGCTGAGAGGCATCTACCCCACGTTAACTGTGTGCCACACTCACTGTTTCACTGAGTCTCTCAACCTTCCTGCCTGTGAGGAAGGTTTCCTTTTGTAGAAAAGGAAACCGGCTCAGAGAGGGTAAGCGATTGGCTTAAGGTCACGGAGCAAATTCCGCAGTTCCTTACGGCAGTGCAGCCTGCCTAGGGGCAGAGGGAGGCGGGCTGTGTGCTGGTTCAAGTCGGTGCTGTGGGGGAGGGGGAGACGTTCCTCGCCCGCTGGTCTCATCATCAAACAGACGAACAAGAGAAAATTCAATGTGTGCACATGTAGGGGAACCCCACATACACCAGAGTCAGAGACCCTGAATTCGTGAGAGGCTCAGAGACAGAAGGAGCATGGGGGCATGTGACATTCTGAGTGAGGGACCAGAAGGGCAGGCGTTCAGTAGTGGGTGGTTTTCCCTGCCCTGTAGGGAAGGCAAGAGGCTATCTCTGAGAGTATCTCATTCTGGGCAAGGCCCCGGCTCAGGTTCAAGTTCTAGGTAGCTGGGGAGGGGCAGAAGGTTCTCGTAAACCAGAAGCTAAATTGCCTTTTGCTCAAAATACAACTGCCATAGGGGCACGCCTTGGGGTGAGTCTTTCTGACTCCCACAGCGTAAAAGGAGGCAACAAAGAGGCCGACCGAAGGAGCGACCCCACAGAGAGCGGGCAGCTGTGCGGGGGGCTTCTCCGCGCCCTCCGCCTCTCCTCGGAGACTGCGCTCAGGAGGGGCAGGGCGGGAAGTGCAGGGTGCCCTCCACGTTCCGGGGGGCAGGGTGGGACGTGCCGGGGCGCCCTCCACGTTCCGGGGGGCAGGGTGTGGACGTGCCGGGGCGCCCTCCACATTCCGGGGGGCAGGGCGGGATGTGCCCGGGGCGCACGTGGAGG